ACCCTTTATCTTGAGGTATTTTTATATTTAAAATGGTGTGTGTAAAGAATACAGCCTAGAATGGAACTGATGAGGAGAAAACATTGTTACTACACACTAAGCAAACACAGAGGTATTTTAATGAAGTGATTGACAGGAAGACTTCTTGGGCCCAAATCTTATTTAGTAGCTCTGTAATTGGTACAAATTATTAAATCTCTCTTTTAACATTGTGGTAAAACTATTCATGATAAGAATACAATGGGATAATCTATGTAAACAAAATGGGTACTGTCTTCATTATTATTAAATGTTAAGTGCCAAGACCTGAGTTAAGTGCTAATAATTCAAACATGTATAAGACATGGACATTCCCTCAGAGCACTTACAGTCCTCATTACTAAACTCAAATAATGAGGTCCATTTTAAAAGACTCTAATATTCAAGCGAATTGAACCTAAATAATATTATATTAAGCTTTCTCATTCCTGTACTTCTCAACATGGCCCACAAACATGAGATGAATGTCATTATTTTAAATGATTCAATGAAGTTTGTTAAAAAAATAATTGCAAGCTGTCTCTAAGATCTCTTCCAATAATAAAATTGGAAGATTCTGTTTGAGAAATTATGTCAAATCCTCTCACTAGCGCAGCTGTCAGCAATTTCTTTTATCGTTGCTAAATCACGGACTGTCATATTACTCTATTTATTCGCAGAGGTTGCGTTGCTTTTTACATGTATAAATACAGGTCTCTAGAAAGTCTGGAAAGCCCCATGACATTGGAGAGGTAAGGTAAAGGTCCAAAGTTCCAGCAAGAAAAAAAGAGGGAGAAAGCAGTGCAGCCAAATTCAGAACTAAAGAGAAGAGAATAAAGACTCGTAACTTTCTCATTGAAGCTGCCTTCTTACCAACTCCAGAGGATCTCTACTCTGGGTAAGACTAGGACTTATAAGGATTTTGCGACTTATAAGGATCCATTAGTTTTCTCTAAGTTGACCATCCCCAAGATACGCTGCAGTTGAGCCAGCTGCAGGATACAAGTCTAGATGAAATCCTGGCCTTAGGTGACTGCATGTACTTTACTGTGCTCTAATTCCTGCTGTGTCAAATTAGGCTTCAGTAGAGGTGGAACAGATATTCAGAGAAGCTAATGTTCTAAGATTGTTATTTCTTTTCTGGCACCATCTCAAATTACCGTTATCTTTAAATATCTGCCTAATTGACTCTGTCACTTTCTTTATTGCCAATATTTATAGCTATAGGTAAATGAAGGTAGGTAACTTGGGAGCTGCAAAAAGAGGCAACACATTATTCTAATCGAGGAGCTTATAACATCTTTGTGCCACCACCTTTTCTGAGCCAATGATTGATTGCTATTTTATGGTAGCATAGTATAAGCTATGGAATTGGACAGACCCATACTGTGTTTTCACTCATCTTCCATAGATACCCAATCTTTTTAGTTTCTGGTTTGCCCTTCTTGCTTGCCAGCAGATCCTGTAGGCCATTGCTATAAGAGGAAATGGGTCATGATCACAGAAAAATAAACGGCATTTTTGCCATCTTCTGTTGAAGTGATGGGAAGACAGATAATTTAATAGAAGCCTCCAGTGGAACAAGTCAGAAGTAACTAACTCTATATGGAAGCAAACCACTCTTTATTATAGGATAAAAATGAAAACTATAGTATCTATCATCTATATTTGCTTGTATCTTAAAGAGATTATATATTTTGTATCATGATCACATAAGTTATAAGGATTGAGATATTCAACTTAAAAACATAATATTAAAGCATTACTACAAGAAGGCTTTTCACTCCTTTTAACTTTACAAAATTATCAAAATATTTAATTTATCAAGTCCTGGATAAAGATAGCAAGATTACAGTTGTGCACATGCTACTCCCTATACGGCAGAGATCAGACAAAAAACAAGCCATGGTTTCTCAAAGAATGTTTCCTGGTGTGACTTCATTACATGAAATAATTAAAAACAATATGCAGACTGATATACATGGAGGTAATAAAGAATCAATCTTAAAATGCAGAGAATTCAAAATCTGGTAACATAATTGAGTCAAAAATCAACAGATAAGTGTCAGGTGCGAGCTATCAGGCTTGCATGAATAATGTGTGAATGCCGATGCACAGTGAAAGGAGAAAGCCATTGGGTAACCTGAGTCCCACAGTCTGACCAGACCCTGCCCACAGAGGGGCTTGGAAGAAATCAGGACCAAGGATGGGTTAGAATGGTATCTATGTTTCAAAATATGAGGATATGTATGACACAATGTTCCCTAGATGAAAATTACTATTACTATACACATGAGCTCAGTGAGCTCAGCTTTGCTCAATCCAAAGATCTAAATGTGAACGTAAAAAGCTTCCAAAGGAAATTTTGTAATTAAGTCAGAAGAGTAAGCGGGGCACCTCAGAAAAATTCCATTTTCTGGAAAATGACATACAAGATGAGCTGGTGGGAATGCAGCCTTGTACAACCTTCTGTAGAGGAACTTGGCAATATCTACAAAATGATATACTCTCATCTTTTGACCAAGCAATCCTGTTGGTAGGAATCTATCCTGAAATTACTCCTGTAACAATATAAAAATACACATTGCTTAAGTTTGCAGAGTTATTCATTGCAGCATTGTTTGTAATTGCAAAATATTTGAGACAATCTAAATGCCCATACATTGAAGAGTGATTGAATAAACTGGGGTATAATCCACATAAAGGAGTAGATATGTGTTAAAAGGGTTTTAAAGGCTTTCTATGAACAGATGTGGAGGGATTTCCAAATTTCTATATGATATGATCTCCGTGTTAGAAAATGTGAAAAAGAAAATATGTACATTCTCGTTTGTGAAAAGAAAATCCAAGAAGGGTAAACCAGAAACTAACAAGATTGGGTATCTACGGAGGATGGGTTGGAATGTGGTAGAAAGAATAGAAGACCAGTGCAATGGGAGTGGAGTGGTAAGAGGAAGGAAAAGTGACACTTCTCTGACTGTAACTTTTTGAACAGCTCTGAATTTAAGAACCATGTTGTCTCACAAACTCAAAAAATAAATCATACTTAAAATCAACCAAGAGACCAAGATGTGAGGGAGGCCAAAATGAAACAGAAACAGTAACAAATGTAACTAACTGTTTTACAAACGAATAATTTAATCATACTGAAGAAGGTGAAGGACAAAACTAACCTAAGCAACTTTGAAGTGTAATGTTTTGAGTGTGTATATAAGGCTAAAGACCAAAATAACTGTACGCTAATAATTTTCTGTAGTAAGTAAATTTATTTTTCCACAGATTTATTATCAATTTTGATACTACTATATGAATATACTAGGATTGAGCAAGGAAACAAATGTATTACCTATTAGGAGACCAAAGTCTAGCTTATTTAGAGAAAATAGTTTAAAAAGGAAAGTCAAAAGCTTGAATGAGCTCAGATGTGTTGGATTGGAACTGGAAATATCAACAGAATCTCAAGCTTTATTACAGAAATGTACAAATAAAAATAAATATAGATGTGTGCTAGTATACATACATATATTTCTCAAATTTGCCCCTGAGTGGGTCTAGAAATAATTAACACACCTAGAGAGATATCTTGGTGTCAAAATACCATTATCCAATGAAAGAAACCATGGATACTGGGAGAAATGGTGGATTCTAGGGATAAAGCAGGAAAAATGCAGATGTGTTTTCTAGAATACGTTGTGGAGCCAAAAAGAAAAGAAGCACTGAAAATATGATGGAAGCATGTGAAAAAAGAAAAAAGAAAAAAAAAAGGATCCAGCTTGAAGAAGCTCTCAATGACGAAATCTAGGACAAGTTGAGTAACAAAATAAATATTGATTGTAAAGTATTGAAACCCTCAGAGTAAAACTAGTATCTCTGAGTCTGCATTGATACAAGTAAATGATTAAATGAGCAAACAAAATAAATAAAGAAGGAACAGCCCTTGCTCATGGTAGAACTCCAGTTAATAAATATAGAAAGAATGACTATAATAAAAAATCTATTTAGTCAAACACCACAAAAAGAATCATCAATAAAAACTAAAAGTAGTGGCTGAAAAAACAACAACAACAACAACAACAAAGTATGATGAGATTGTATTTGCATAGTCTCCAAACTGTTTCTCAAAATGGAAATGTTTTAGTGACAAAGTGGCACAAAACTCTTTACAGTGGAGAAATCTGAAATCTGGCAGCAAGCACTTTAAACAAGTGATCAAAGTGAAGGTTGCAGCACCAGAAAAAGTCATGTCAACATCATGAATCTCTTAATACAAGACACTGAAAATGGCAGAACATCACTTCTGTGACATTTGCAAAAAAAAAAAAATGCATAACTTCAATCAATGAGGAAACATCAGAAAACTCCAAAGTGAAGGATATTCCTCAAAATCAAAGGCCAGTACTATTCTAAAATGTCAAAGACATGAAAGACAAAAAAAGAATAAGGAACTATCAAAGATGCAAGAAAACTACAGAAACATAATGACTAAATGCAATGAGGGATCCTGGATTGGATCGTGAAGCAGAAGGACATTAGTGGGAAACTGGTGAAATGTCAATAAGGAGTGTAAATTAGTTATCATTGCATCAATGTTAAAATCCTGGTTTCAGTAATTGCTCTATGGTTATGTAAAATATTAACATTAGGGGAAGCCAGGGAAATGGTATATGGGCACTCTTCATACCTATCATGCATCTTTTCTATAAGTCTGTTTCAAAATTAAGTTATTTTAAAAGGCAACCAGTGGCCCTGTCTATAGGACAATCTTAAAGGGCCACAGGTCTTCTTAGAAATGCACAAGAAACAATGCTCAAGAATAATAAACAAAAATTTATGCCCTATTGTAGAATTCAGCTCAATTGACTGACCAGACGTTACTTTCTGCTTCATTTTTTCCTTGCAGACAAAGGAACGGTCCGAACATGGCATCAGAGATCCACATGCCAGGCCCAGTATGCCTCATTGAAAACACTAAAGGGCATCTGGTGGTGAATCCAGAAGCTCTGGAGATTCTGTCTGCCATTACACAGCCTGTAGCAGTGGTGGCAATTGTGGGCCTCTACCGCACAGGCAAATCCTACCTGATGAACAAGCTGGCTGGGAAGAACAAAGGTGAGTGGCACCAGCAAAGCATGGATGAGCCCTATCTGTCCAGTTACACAGTCAGTATCCAGTTTGAAGATGAGATGAAAGAAAGTTAGTGTTGGAGATAAATATTGATAGCTAACTTTGAATTCATTAGCATACTCTTTACATTCACTCTGGAGGATTAGAGTCAACTGACTCTTCCCACTTTGCCTTTATCTTCACATTTCATATATAAATAAGGTATTAATAAAAAATTAAATAATGATGCATTATTAAATATTTACTAAAATGTTTATGTAGTAATAGCAAGTTTCCACAGAACTTTAAGATAAAATGAATGTTTCAATACATATTGGATATTCTAATTTCTCTATTTTTTGTAATTAAGGTCACTATTGGTTATAATTTCTCTCTTTTACATGAGGCTGTAGTGTCAGGAACTCAGTGTGGCTTATACAGCACCAAGCTACCAGTTAGAAGCCTGATGTTAAAGTGTAGTTTGTATGTCTTTCTAACTAAGCCAATCAGTTACTATTTCTACTCTTCATTTTCATCATTCAGGAAATGAATGATTTGACTACCATATCTTGAGTTCCTCTGTCAACTCAAAATAACAACAGATAGTCACTCTCCAAAGAAATGAATATATTCAGGAATAAGTAGGGGATTTGTAAATTCTGGAAATGCATATAACAAATCATAAGTTCGTCTGGAAATGTTAAGGCAGTGAGAAACTTTTAAAGACAAAAAGGAGACATATATGCCAGTTAATGTAAAATGAAAGTTCACTGGTTTACAGGATCATATTGCAAGTGAGGACATGTGCATTGGCTGCTGCTTGAGAGAGTTTTATGGAGAGAACCCTGACTGCAGGGACCCTGATGGCAGCAAGTAAGGCCACTTGCAAGATTGTGGTTAGGACTGGCTATTACTGGAAGTACAGAAGTAGCCTTTGTTGCAAGGTTGTAGTTTGGCAATGTCCTAATGGCAATTTCCACCACAGGAAAGTGTACAGGAAAGCCCTTCCTTCATGAACTCCTGACTCCATTTTGTTAGGGTTTGGCATAAGTGACTCCATTTTGCTTCTGACAACTTTTGCAGTTCCCCCTTTGATCAAGATCTTTCTCTGCTCAATCATCCTGTAGTTATGTATTATGTGTTCCTCAGTGCTTGGATGCACTTGATTTGGTTGGTTTGTTCCCAAGTCGGTCCCAAGTGATTGGTGACTGGGAGTCAGTTTCAAAACACTTTTAGCCACATTTGAGCAACAAGGATGTTTGGAAGGAGTGGGTTTCAGGCTAATTCTCCCTGGAATTCATTATGAAGTCAATTTTTTCAATTCAACATTTTTGGCATATCCTTTAAGTGCTAAGCCAGCATTATTATCTTAGGAGTGTCCTTTCTGCAGAAGTCAGACAGGTAACAGGTACAAAGCTTAAAGAAAATAATGCAAAGCAAAACCAACAGGAGCATAACAAATTCATTTTGGATGATGGTTCTGAACCAAGAGCTCAATTAAACAAATTAAAAGACCATGTGGGACTGGGTAAGATTTGTTATAGGCATTGAGTCTTTTACATAGTTTGGTTAGTGATTCTATTATTTAGTATCTGATGACTTGGTTAAATTAAAGCCAAGAGTGCTAACTCTGTAAAAAGGGATCACTGGTACAATTTGAACAAAAAGCTGTGTTAAGAATATTGCCAAAGTTATTCACTACATGGAAGAAAGCATCTCTTAGATCATGTAAAGATTTGGGATTGGCATGACAGATCCAACATTCCATCAGGTACCCACAGAAGCTGATGATTATGAAATTATAACTATGGCATTATCCTGTCAAATGAAAAGAAGGCACAAGCAAAGAAAATTTAAGAAGGATAATAGTCTCATTTTTGTAAGTATTGTTCTATCATTCTTAGAAAAAGCGGTCCATGGCATGAAACCATTAACTTCTCATACTGGTTTACACACTAAATGTCTTTGGGTATGGCATTGAGTGGTTTGGTGAACTTTCTGTGTGGCCCAGACATGAGACATGAGACTCATCCCTTGAAATTTACATTGAGTTGTGTAGCTTTAGTGTATAGAGCTTCAGGAACAGAGCAGATTTTTATTTTAGCAATTCCAGGCCAGAAAATTGGGTTGGACGAACCTAGAAGAATTGGAAATTTAGTCCAGGTTGTAGATAAAGAATAATAAACTCAAAAGTAATGCATAGGGCTGCAATCTAATAACAGATGAAGTATAGTTTTCCTTTCTTAATCATAAATTTTCTCCTCTAGTCATTCCAGTTTTTACCAAGATAAGGCTTGTTTGCAGAATAAATTTAACCTCATCAAACAAAGCCTGATTATTTATACAAGTACAGCAAGAATAGTCAAGAGACTCTTTTACGTTTGCTTTGTTGACCCTTTAAGCCAATTAAATAGAGCCCTTTCACATATCTTGTAAGCCAATTAAATAGAGCTCTTTCACATATCTTGGAAGAAAATTATTACATACACAAAACATGCAAACATAAATACACACACAAGCAAAGATCACAGGGTTTTCCACTTTAAAAAATTTAGTCATAACACTGTAAAACATAGAGATTCAAACTCATTTGTTTGTAAAAGGACAGCTAAATCCAAACTATTTTTCTGAAAAAATAGAATAAGTTAAGGTTACTTGCTCAAATGGCTAACCTTTGAGATTTTTCATTTGCCTTTAACTGTTAATTCTGTGGAGGCTGTGGACTAAATTTGGGGTAAACTGCAGTTTTCACAACAGTTTGAATTTTTTTATTATTATTTTTTAAATTTGAGGCTGAGTTTCGCTCTTGTTGCCCAGGCTGGAGTGCAACGGCGCGATCTCGGCTCACCGCAACCTCCGCCTCCCAGGTTCAAGCAATTCTCCTGCCTGGGATTACGGGAGCCCGCCACCATGCCCGGCTAATTTTTTTGTGTGTTTTTTAGTAGAGACGGAGTTTCTCCATGTTGGTCAGGCTCCTCTTGAACTCCTGAACTCAGGTGATCCGCCCGCCTCAGCCTCCCAAAATGCTGGGATTACAGGTGTGAGCCACCACGCAATGTTATGCAAGGGCCAAGGGAGGTCATGAGTTGTCTTTGGTTGTGGGGCCAGAGGGTAACTGTTCATGAAAATAGTGAGTGTATGAAGATTAAGAAAATCATGCTGCAGTGGAGGATAAGGGAGAGGAAGGCAGGAAAGGAAAGGAGATGCCTGAGGGTCAAAAGCTGAGCCCAAGTCTAAGCCGAAGCTCAAGCCCCGGCATGGCACAATTTTGCGAATTAACTCAGGCTGAGTTGCCTGCAATCTTTGGAATGTCGTCTTATACTGATAATGCTGAGGCAGAGGGCAGTAATTGGTGCTTTGGGATAGGAGAAGGGGCAGTTGCTGAAACACAAACTTAATAGTCAGCATCCCGAGTTCCTCAATTGCAGCCAAAATAACATGTGTTCAGACCTTTGGGCAGTATCACCCCCAGAACTACCAGCTGTAGTGTGGTCCATTCCCAGACAGCAACATGCAAGAATAAGTTTACAATACACTCAGCCCTTCTGGCTTAAAATCAGGGGCTCAGGGGCTCAGAGGCTGTGACAACTCATGATGCTGAAAATGCCTCCAATGAAAATGAAGTACTAGCTCTCTGCTTCATTAAAAGCTCTTGGAAAGAATATTAAATCTCGAGACAGCAAAATAATTGAATGCACAATACATTTTTCGTGTCTTTGTATCCAATATATTACCTTTGTCTTATTAAAAAAAATATATCTCTCGTTATATATTTCTTGGATGTGAAGTTTTTATTCATACTCTACTATTTCTGTGAAGGACAAATCTGTCTCTATTTTCCATTTCATTTAGAAATATACCACATTCACTCTTTTTGATGTGAACTTTCCCAGGAAATTTCTCTTGTGCCCATTTAGTTTTATAAGAGTGTCATTTTGTGCTATTACATCAATATCCTGTTTTATTTCCATTATGTTTTTCAAAAACCAAAGAAAACAAGGTTTTTCTTAAAAAGTTTGACATTTTCTCTTGTTAATTCTGTATCCTGATATTTACAGCTGAAGAGAAACTATTTTAACTTAAGTGTAAGATGGTTTAGAATAGCAAATGATACAGTCCACTCAGAGTTTACAAAAAAAAACATTTACCAGGTAGACACTTAATAAACAAAATAAGCACTTGAAGAAAATTCTTTGAAAACAGACCTAGGGACATCCACCTGCATGCATCTTTTGCACAGATTTTGTTAAGAAAAGGCCAGATCTAAAAATGTATTGTCAAGAAACAAGTAAACCAAAGCATACATCCCTAGGTATTCTAAACAGAGGTTTATGTGGGGTCCATTTAGAGTGACTGATGCAAATACCAGTTGTAGAAACGTTAATCTAAATCTTTACTCGGCGACAGATTTCCTCTGTGAAGTCTGAGCATTTTGCATTGCCTCCCAAATCTTTTGTCAAACTCTTTCCATCTTTAATTGTAGCAAAACACGCGGCCTCAATTCTTGCAGCATGGTCAAAAAGTCCTATGAGGCGCAACATCATCACAGGACTGAGCAGGAGGGCTCTGGGATTCGCCATGTCCTTGCCTGCAATGTCCTTGCCTGCAATGTCCTTGCCTGCAATGTCTATAGCGGTCCCATGAATCGACTCAAAAATTGCAACCCCATTGGCTCCAATGTTGCCACTTGGCGTCACACCAAGACCTCCAATCAATCCTGCCCACAGGTCACTAAGGATGTCTCCATACAAATTTGGCATAACAACAACATCAAATTGGGAAGGATCTTGTACTATATTCAAACATACTGTATCAAGGTACATCTCATTAAATTTAATATCTTTACAGTTTTCTGCAACTTCCCTGCATTTTTGTAGAAAAAGCTCGTCTAACATCCGCGTGATGTTGGCTTTGTGCACCGCCGTGACGTTCCGGTGGTTGTTCCGGGCATACTCAAAGGCAAACTCAGCAATCGGTTTGCTCGCCCCCTCCGTAATGAGCTTGATACTCTGCACAGCTCCATCAATGATCACATGCTCAATTCCACTGTATTCTCCTTCTGCGTTCTCTCGAATGGTCACAATATTTACATCGGTGTAAGGGGTTTTATAGCCTTCGATAGAGACACATGGTTGGACATTTGTGTAAAGGTCAAATGTTTTGCGCAGCGGTAAATTCATAGATGGGTGACTGGCTGCTATTGGGGTCTTCAAAGGGCCTTTCAAGCCCATCTTATTCTTATCCATGGACACTTTAGCCTCCGAAGGGATCATCCACTTTCCTCTGGGTCCTTGAATGGCAGTGACCTTTCACCCCTCCCACTGAATAGGTCCTTAGGCAGCATCAAAAATCTTCATAACTGCAGCTGAAGTTTCTGGGCCAATACCATCTCCTGGAATTAAAGTCACTGGCTGAACAACATCAGTAAAACCTCTGGTCACCTGTTTTGGGTTGTGGAATACACCCAACCGCAGAGAGACCTTGGAGATCCATCCAGGCCCAGCCATCGCTTCCCCTCCTGGCTCCACAGAGACACACCCCTTCCAATTTTAAATGCTCTTCTTAAAATGCAGTTCTTGAAAGTTCATCTGGAATGTTCCACATAATGGCCATTGTAATTCTAAATTACTTTTGGTGTAATTTCCCATCAATTGAGAAGTGTGCATGAGATGGATCATAAATACAGCTGGCCAGAGTCCCAGAAGAAAGATTATTCTGGCATGCCTTTAAATTTGGGTATCTTATTTTGTTTCTCATTAATCTCTGAAGAGAAAAAAATAAAATCCTATGAATCTGGTTGGGAATGTCAGAAGTTTGGACTGGTGTTTTGTTTTACAATGTACCCGGTCCAGGGTATTTGTTTTAGTTGGTGGACAATCATTGCCTTTGTTGTCCAACCCATGACCACATTTGCCCTGTTGTATGGAAATTTTCTTAAGTGTGGCAGATGCTCTAATGGTAACCTTGCCTATCCATGGCCTGTTTACCTTCACACAAAATACTTCATCTTCAGAGACTGGAGTCCCTCATTAATGATGGCACTGCCTTAACTGGTTTAAATTGGTCAACCCATGCCTACTGTTTGGTACATTTATTTTTGCTCTTGGCAGATGTTCAGAAGTAAGAAAATACTCAATTCACCAAAATTTTAAATCAGGCAGGCAGACTAAACAAAATATTAAACCAGGCATGCAGAAGTAAAAAAAAAAAAAAAAAAAAAAGTACTCACCAGAAGGACAATGTTCTTTTCTCATGAAGGGCTTGCCAGAAAAGACAAAGTTGTTTTTAGGCTAAGAAGGGATTCAAGGCTTTTTATTGAGGTAACCTTATCCAAATAAGATCCTGAACCAGACAAAAAGAAGGGATTTTAACCCAAGGGGAGACTCAACACAGTAGAAAAGGTCAGATGTGGAAACGAACAGATCAAAGGGCTCAACAAGGGAATACCACTCATGGTTTCAGGGGCTGCTGATCATTCCAAGATGAGCTCACTTTAGATCCTACTTCTGATGCCAGATTATGTCAGGCTAAAGTAACAACAGAGAAAGTAGCTCTCCAAAGGAATGAGTTTATTTAAGAATGAGCAGGGGACCATACGCATACCAAATTCAGGTATGCACACTCTAATAAATCATAGTTTGGTTGAGACAGTGGGAAACTTCAAAGATAAAAAGGAGAAGTACACGCATGGTGTTTTGAAACAAAAGTTTATTTGTTTACAGGAGCTTACTCACAGGACTTAATATGTGTACTGGCTGTTGCTAAGAGAGAGTCTTCACAGAAGGGACCCTGATTGCAGGGACTCTGACTGCAAGTTAGACCACTTGAAGTTTACAGTTAAGACTGGCTATTACTGGAAAGATGTCCTCAGAATATTAGCCTTTGTCGTGAGGTTGTGGATTGGCAACATCTTCAGTGGCAGTTCCCATCACAGGAAAGTGTGCACGAGAACTTTTCCTTCATGGTCTGCTGACTTCATTGCATTCAAGTTTGGCATTTTGATGCTGACAACTTTCACACTTTCAGCCTTTAAAATTCTAGAACTCTTTTACTAGTCCGAGGTATAACTTTTTAATTCCTGCAGTATTCTCATACCTCATGGATTTTCTTAAATATTTTGCTGATTTTTGTCATCATCCATCTGAAACACTTCAGTGGGTTCCATTACTAACAAATCTGGTCTACTTGGCTACATACTCAGGAGTTCAAATCACAGATTCCTCAACTAAATTTCAAGATTTTATTCTCACTACTCCACTCTTGGAAACCATTTCAACAGAGCATACTAGAGTGGATGCTTTATACTGTCCTTTCCATGTCAGAATCTCCTCCATTTGGATATCCTCCTGTTCAGGTGGCACCCGCATAAGGAAAAAGAGTCACTACATGAAGATGAGCCCAGCACTTGGACCTCTTGTCTCAGCCCTCTCCTTAATTTTACTTATGAATGCATGCTTTTTTCTTCCTCTTGAGCATTGCATAAAAATACACAGGTGTCTTAGTCTGTGTCTGCCACTAGGACAAAATACATTACACAGGGTAATTTATAAATAATAAAAACTAATTTCTCACAGATCTGGAGGTTGGGAAGTCCAAGATTAAGGCACAAGGTGATTCAATGTCTAGTGAGGGCTTGTTACTCACAGAGGGGGTTTCCCATTGTCCCCAAATGGCAAAAGGGACAGAAGGAACAATCAAATTCTCTCAAGGTCTTTATATATATATATACACTTTAAGTCCAGGGATATATGTGCAGAACGTGCAGGTTTGTTACATAGGTATACACGTGCCATGGTGATTTGCTGCACCCATCAACCTGTCATCTACATTAGGCATTTCTTCTAATGCTATCCCTCCCCTAACCCCCATCCCCCAACAGGACCCGGCGTGTGATGTTCCCCGCCCTGTGTCCATGTGTTCCCATTGTTTGACCCCCACTTATGAGTGAGAACATGTGGTGTTTGGTTTTCTGTTCCTGTGTTAGTTTGCTGAGAATGATGATTTCCAGCTTCATCCGTGTCCCTGCAAAGGACGTGAACTCATCCCTCAAGGCCTTTTATAAGGGCATTAACTTTATTACTGAGGACATGACCTTTCATGACTTAATCACTTCTGACTTCTTTTTTATTTTGAGACGGAGTCTCACTCTGTTGCCAGGCTGGAGTGCAGTGACGCAATCTCGGCTCACTGCAATCTCTCCGCCTCCTGGGTTCAAGTGATTCCCTGGCCTCAGCCTCCCAAGTAGCTGGGACTACAGGTGCGTACCACCATGCCCAGCTAATTTTCTGTATTTTAGTAGAGACAAACTTTCACCATGTTGGCCAGGATGGTCTCTATCTCCTGACCTCATGATTTATCTGCCTCGAACTCCCAAAGTGTTGGGATTACAGGTGTGAGCCATTGCACCCATCCCACTTCTGACTTTTTAATATCGTCATCTTGGGGTTTGGTTTCGGATTTCACTGAAGTTCCAACGTATGAATGGGGGATTGGAGGGATTAACGTTCAGACCATAGTAACAGGGTAATAGAGTTTACATTAATTCTGTAATATAACTTATTTGAGCCTATGCTTAGATATGAAGTGAATAGGGGACCCAAGTACCTTCTGAGAAAGTCATTTATATGAATAAAGATTTGATTGATTTCTTTGCTGAAATGGAAGCAACCCATTTCCCCTGCCGGAAACTTACATTCCTATACATTTAACCGGTTTAGGCCTTGTCTGCCTGGATTCTGCTGTCACTATGTGTTGTTTCTCCTCTTCCCTTGAAGGCTTCCCTCTGGGCTGCACAGTGAAGTCTGAAACCAAAGGCATCTGGATGTGGTGTGTGCCCCACCCCTCTAAGTCAAACCACACCCTGGTCCTTCTGGACACGGAGGGCCTGGGTGATATGGAAAAGGTAAGACAGAGCCATAGAGAAATCTTCTTTACCCTTTGATTCTCTTTTTATGTTTTTATGCATAATATCAATCCAACTTCTCTGGCCTATTCCTGAATCACAAATCTGATTATGGAAACAAAGCTAAATTTCATTTCTGGGAACTTACTTTCTGGGTAAGCTCAAATATTTTGAAGTATTAGTGATAGATCTTCTTATTTTTAACAGTTGGATGAATCATAAAATTTAATAAATACTTACTGCATAGCAGAAGTCTAGGGCTGTGTGCTAAATACAGAATCCTGAATTTCAAAGCTCTATGCTAATCAGTGAACCAGGTAAATGCTCAGAGCCTAGTGGCGAAGACAACATTGTGATCATTTAGAGTGCTTAGATGCTGGAAGTGAGGGCCTAACCCAATGATACAATTTAGGAGAAAGCTACCTGGAAGACGCTGTAACCGGTGGGATTAATGGGTGCTACTAGTTAAGGTGTGTGGGGTTCGTAGGCTTGAAGGTAGAAATCAGGAAAATAGAGTTTCACTGAAATAATCTATTTTTAAATGCATAGAAAAGCACCAGCTAGCCTGGCGCGGTGGCTCACGCCTGTAATCCTAGCACTTGGGGAGGCCGAGGCGGGTGGATCATCTGAGGTCAGAAGTTCGAGACCAGCCTGGGCAACATGGTAAAACCTTATCACTACTAAAAATGCAAAAATTAGCCCAGCGTGGAGGCGGGTGCCTGTAATCCCACCTATTCAGGAAGCTGAGGCAGGAGAATCGCTTGGACCCGGGAGGTGGAGGTTGCAGTGAACTGAGATCACGTCACTGCACTCCAGCCTGAGTGACAGAATGAGACTCAGTCTCAAAAAAAAAAAAAAAAAGAAAAGAAAAGAAAAAAGAAAAAGAAAAGAAAAAGCACCAGCAATACCAGGAACATTTGTAAAAGTTTTTGCCCAATTTACAGGGGCAGGCAATGTAATCATCACTGACTTCTAGAAGAGCATGAGCTAGCCCCACACAAAAATTTGCAAATTGGATAATTCTAGATAATTTTGCTTTATAGTATTAGGTGCTGTCTTTTCCTTTATTTATATTAGTCTGAGTATAAACTGAAAATAGAGTTAGTCAGAAACGACAGAGGGATGTTACCACTGACCCCACATATACAATATTATGAAAACCTCCATGCACATAAATTAGACAATCAATACAAAATAGACAAATTTGTTGACAAATACACCCTCTCAAGACTTAACTAGGAAGAAATTGAATCCCTGAACAGACAAATGATGAACTCTGAAATTGAGGCATTAATAAATAGCCTACCTACCAAAAAAAAAAAACAAAAAACAAAAAAACAACCCCGAAACAGATGGATTAATAGCTGAATTTACCAGATGTACAAAGAAAAGCTGGTAGCATTCTTACTGAAAATATTCCAAAGAATTGAGGAGGAGGCACTCCTCCCTAACTCATTCTATGGGGCCAGCATCATCCTGATACCAAAACCTGGAGAGATACAACAAAAGAAGAAAACTTCAGGCCAATATCCTTGATGAACATCACCGCAAAAATGCTCAACAAAATACAGGCAAACTAAATCCAGCAACACATCAAAAAGCTTATCCACCATGACCAAGTAGGCTTTATCCCTGGAATGCAAGAATGGATCAAGATATGCAAATCAATAAATGTGATTCATCCCATAACAGAAATAAAGACAAAAACTACACAATTATCTCAATAGATACAGAAAATGTTTTCAATAAAATTCAAAGTCCATTCATGGTAAAAACTCTCAATAAACTAGGTATTGGAAGAACATAGCTCAAAATGATAAGAGCCATATGTGACAAACCCACAGTCAACATACACTAAATGGGCAAAAGCTGGAAGCATTCCTATTGAAAACCAGCGCAAGACAAGGATGCCCCCTTTCACCACTCCTGTTCAACATAGTATTGTAAGCCTTGGCCAGGACAATCAGGCAAGAGAAAGAAATAAAGGGCATCCAAATAGGAAAAGAGGAAGTCAAACTATCCCTGTTTGCCAACGACATGATTTTAAGTCTAGAAAACCCCATAGTCCCAGCCCAAAAGCTCCTTAAGCTGATAAACAACTTCAGCAAAGTCTCAGGATACAAAATCAATATGCAAAAATAACTAACATTCCTATACACCAACCACAGTCAAGCTGAAAGCCAAATCAGGAACAAACTGCCATTCATAATTTCTACTTAGGAATACAGCTAACTAGGGAGGTAAAAGATCTTTCCAAGGAGAACTACAAACCACTGCTCCAAGAAATCAGAGATGACACAAATAAAAGGAAAAA